AGATTTCTCTTATGTGGGAGAGATGCCAGTAAGCTACTAGAATTCCAACTAAACATACTTAAAAATTGCATAAAGGGAACATAAGCAAAATACAGCTAATATAAGCAACGAATGTGTAAAGCTAAACAATTAAAATTTAATATGAACAATAGTAAAGAAACAAAATATGAATGATAAATAAAAATACAAAACTTATAAGGGAATGTGCAAGTCTTACTAACTCACCAAGAGTATGCATAAAACCAATATGAAAACCCTAAGAACTCACAAAGATCTCAATAGATGCTTGCAGTGTTTGAAATGAACCTCCCCAAATCTCCATATTTATAGGAATTGAAGGAGCCTCCATGTGACCCATATCATTTATAGAAATAATATTTAAATGATAAAAAAATTTGACATGTGAAAAATGTGCCTCACTGCTTCTCCCGGTCGATGTTATCGATCCAAATTCCCTTAACTCATTATATTTGCTTCTCTTATCAGTGATACTTTATCTATCCCTGCTTGATTTATCCCTAATCTTCCTCCTAGTCACATCATACATGGATGCCCATACTATCAAATCAATCTCTATCAATCTAGATCATTCCACCAACTCAGAAAACTCCTGAATTCATAGAGGTACTAACAAATGTCTCAATTCCTTGTTTAGTCCTTACATAAACCCATAACACTTTTCTTCAGTAGTAGGAATTAAATAAGGAGCATACATAGCCAATGCAGTGAACTCAGCTTCATGTTGCATCACTGTCTTGTGTTCTTGTTCTAGTTCGATAAAGGCTTCATATATCTATTGTCAGGCTGAAAGAGATACAAACCATATTCTGAATACTATAGTGAACTCTTACCTAAGTAATCTCTGTATTGATTTTTTCCTGAAATTTCTTTTGTTGTTGTCATACTCTCCATCTTTTCTCTTCACCTTCAAATAGAAAAATAATTAACAGTGTCTTCTAGTTCTCTAGACATTACATACTGTCGAAGATTTTTTTTTCTATCCTCAATGGTCAATCTTCTACAGCTTGGGATTCTAAAGCTCCATTGATAAGTGAAAACTTCAATTTATAAAATATATGTAAATGATTATCTCTCTCTTATTCCTTTTTCTCAGCTAACTTGTTATGTATATCTCCCATTACCTATGTTATAACATTGGCCAGTTGCATAACACTGTCTGAAGGTTATTGGAGCTACATTATGTTGTTCATTCGATACATTTTTGCTCTCGCATATCCATTTCAATTGTTCACTTGCACACTTATATCTGAATAATTCATGCATGGACTCAATTATATATGTAAATAATGCACATTAATCTACCCAATTTTATCCAACTCATAATCAATTTATATAGCTCTAGTAACAATTCAATTCTTCCAAAACATTTGCTCTAATATCAAGTTTATGATACATCATAATCTAAATTAAAAAGAATTGTATCTTTATCTTTTATATATAATAACCATACCTATTAATTTCATTCAATAATATAAATATCAACGAAAAATGAATCTAAAGCTTAAAACATTCATATACAAATGTAATCATTATCCAAAAAGTCTATACAATAACCAAGAGTCATACATATATAATAAACTATTCATCAACTCCTGATTACAAAAGAATATCTAAAAGATAAAAAGAAATAAAATAATAATAAAATTTGAAAAATCCTGTAACTAATCAGTATCACACTCCTAATCCTTTTCCTTAACATGAAATTATTTAAATCACATATAATGAGCTAAAAAATCCTACAACGAAACTCAAAGCATGATAAAGAAACATTATACATGTAATCACTCAGTTCATAACCATAATACTCAATATAACTATGAATTTATGTAGAAACAACAAAAGTAAAACCTGAAAAAAAATAATAAAATAGTATGACATGGAGGCTAGTAAAATAGTGCATTTCAAAAATAATAAGATCTATAAACCAATGCGGATGTCGAAACAATAAAACAATAAACATTCTTAAATCATACATTGTAGCAGTGTTATTTAATCAATAAAGAAATCATAAGTGGTGAGAATACTCAAAAAAATTATTAAAATTCATAGCCATACAGTGTAGTAATATTAAGAAATTGTAAACGACTATATATATGATGTTCAGTTATTCTATATCATGCTTTATATCACACGTTCAATAATAGGAATCACGTGCTCAATAACAAAAAAAAATCAATACAATAATTGTAAATCAGTAGCAATAAAAGTGATAGTGAATCAATATTAGTATTAATAAAATATGTGCCAGTAACAATAAAACAATATAGTAATATTAAATTGGTACAATGCATGCATCATAGTAGTCATGCTAAACAAGTAAAAAAATATGGCTTGCATAGTATTTATTCTAAGTAATTAGTAAATTAGTAATTGTTGGTTCATTAAACAAATTCATCCCTCTTTATATGTCAACACATTAATTAACTCCATGTATTCCCAATCAGTGATTATCACATGAATTAGTGGAGGATAATACTAAATCACAGTATTTAAAGAAAAGCCCATCGACCCATCATCATGTATAGGTCAGTTAAATAATAAGCCTTTACTTATCTTTCACACATATTATTATAAAAGTATTAGCAACCAGCTATTACTCAATCACACACCTATATACATTTATAATGCTTGTATTAATAGTATGCTAATATTAAAATACCAAAATTACTATTATATGAAAATCATACAAAACATAGTAATTATCATTTTATCTTGTGAAATTTCATAAGTAACCAGCCAAATGTTCAGAATAATCAATATTATGATATATGAAAAGTTACACGATGAAAGTTCACTAAATTCGGAGAAAATGTAATAAAATCAATTTGATAAAAATTCAATAGTTGAAATCAAAATCTTTGAAAAAATAAATATGATAAAAGTCATCTATAATGACCTAAGCATTTTCGTAAAGCGGCAAAACCAATCAATAACCAAAATTCAAATTTCTCTTTCCTCTCACCTCTTTTCCTTCTCCTCCCTCATTTCCTTCCATGACAAGACAAAAAATGAGAGAGGGAGCTGAGTGTAGAGAAAATATATGTATAAAAACTTATTTAAGTGGTCAACATAGCGGCACTAAAATTTAGCGCCGCTGTGCTGCATGCTGAATCTATAATTACTATTGAACATAGTCTTTAGCGCCACAGTGGCAACTTCTAGCATTACTGTGCTCACAGGCACACACACCACTGTGCTCTAATTTAGACAAAAAATTTAAATTTTTTTTATTTTAAAATTATTTCATAATTATCAAATTATTACAGGGGCAACCCAAGGCAACCGAACTATGAGCTCTTGATCGGGTTCGTTATCATTTCACCACAATCTTTAAGTACAAGATGGTAAATATCAAACTATAAATATTAAAACTATTGCTATTATATGGTGGGCATTTAGTTTTTATCTAACAACTAACATTAATAAAAAATTATTTCTCATTATCGAAAGGGATAATTAATCATAGGATTTAGTGCTTATAGAAAGCTTGAAACCATGTCAAACAGTACTAAAAAAATGAGGGTTAAATATCTAGATAAAGTCTTATCTTAAATCTAATCTGCATTCTAGAATTTTGACTCGAAACATTTTATAGTTACAACTCTCCCTCAAAAGTGCGGGGAAGCCGAGGCGCCAATTTTCAAAGCCCACAATTTGAATGCGTATTTTTTTTATAAACATAGAATAAAATACATATTTGGATGAATAAAAGATTGTGGTGAAAATCTATATCAAAGGTTTCCATCAATCACACATTGAAGTTTTCACAATCAAATTTAAAGAGCACAAAAAAAAGAAAATGAGGGAGGCATCCACGATTATGTTCTTGCCACAAATGGCTCGTTTAATAGATATTACTTGTTTCAAAGGGATAGTTGAGACAAATGGCTTGCCAAGGCTGATGAGTTTTGTTCTTTCCACAATTTATTTGACCAACAATGTTTTATAATTGCCATGAAATATATAGATGATTTGACATTATGCTAGTACCAATGCATGCCTTTGAATAAATTGTTGAACTCTTGGAATTCTTTCAAGCAAGTTTCTCTTCAACATTTTTTTTTTCTCTTGAGATCATCAAATAGCCTCTTAGACTTCGTTTGGGACGACTTTTTTATTGCTTCTTAAAGCAATTTTTAGTATAAAAAATAAAATTTTGTACTAAAAAACTGCTTTAAGAAGCAACCAGAAAATCGTCCCAAACGAAGCCTAAAAGTCTTTGAACGGAAGAGTAATGATGTGAACCCAAATATAATCATTTTAATAATTAAATGAGGTTAATTAGTGAGAGTAGTTTGTCGAATATAATGTAAATATACAAATAACCCCCATTTGGGAAAGAAGAGAGAGAAAACGATAGAATAACTCTTCTTCTATCTTATTTTTTCTCTTGTGCTTTCTTTTGGACAAATTGCTCCATAAGCAACAATGATTCTATCAATATTCTGACAATTTTCTCGCTAATTTGAATCATTCAGAAAAATTAACCGAGTAAAAATACATTCCAAGCAAGCAGACTCCGCATACAGGTCTTCGCTACAAGCAAGCATATGAGCCAAATACATCAAAGCAAAACAGCTGGAACTAATCCTTCCAATACTAACATCTGTGTTAAAACAGAAATAACAATCAACAAAGAGCCAAATGGAACTCTCTCCTTGATCGGCCAAGACTTCTTCATTGCGTTAATAACAATAAGGTTTCATTTGGGGCGGTTTTCTTACTATTTCTTAAAACAATTTTTTGATAAAAAATTAAAAAATTTTGTACTAAAAAGTAGCTTTAAGCAGCAGTAAAAAGCCGCCCCAAATGAAGCCTAAATGTGCATTGAGCCAAATAAAACAAAAGAAAAAATAAATAAGCCAAAGCTTAGAGCATTTTAAAAATATTAATAGTAAGCTATAGTGGACGCCAATTTTTGCCAGCTGAACTACAAAATAAAGATGAAAAACTATCTAGTAAATACAAATTAAGATGAGTTTACAAATAACACATATTAGCTGCAAGTTCATATAAATAAATCTGAGTCTTCTATTTTTTTACGTTTTATAGACATCTGTATTAAGTCATTTTAATAAGTCAAAATCTATTATGTCTCTGTTTCAGAATATCTGACAGAAAATCTTTCCATAAAGATTAGTCATATGGGAAACTCAGGTGGCGAAGTAGCCAAAGCCAGTGGTCCTTAATTGGCGTTTGGAACTGGTAAGCGAGTTACAAGTGAGGCTTTAAGAATTTTCTTTGGCATCAAAAGATAATTACAAAGTTACCCAGAATTTTATTTTGGTATCAAAAGATAATTATAAAGTTACCCAGACTTTTTCGTAGCATTAAGAACAAACAACATGGTGAGGGTAAATCTGCCAAATTGAAGCTCTCATCAGAAGGCGAAATTGAAAAGAGGGAACCGGAAGAGAATGTGGAGGAGGAAGATGGTCGAAGAAACAGTCAATATATCTTTCAGCACCTTAATATAAAATCATGGCAGCACTGTCTCCACTCATGATTAGAGGGGCAAGCAGATTTCATGAAACACAAAATGATTTGCAAATGATTACAATCATGACAAAAAGTTTCATCAAAAATAGAAAAAAATACCTCCAGCCAATCCAAAAATAAGGCCACCAAATTGAAATATGAAATTTTATTGGAGAAAAGAAAATAAAATATATCTTTCAGCACCTTAATATAAAATCATGGCAGCACTGTCTCCACTCATGATTAGAGGGGCAAGCAGATTTCATGAAACACAAAATGATTTGCAAATGATTACAATCATGACAAAAAGTTTCATCAAAAATAGAAAAAAATACCTCCAGCCAATCCAAAATAAGGCCACCCAATTGAAATATGAAATTTTATTGGACAAAAGAAAATAAAACTATGTGACAAGAAGACGCTCACAATTTTTCCCTTTAGTTAAGAAGAAATAAAAAAAATTTGTCATTATGGTAAGCCAAATGACCAAGAGCTACCTGGAATTAAAATGACAATAGCCTGGTTGAAGCTAATATAATTATTGGTAATCATCATCGCATACATATTTTTTTGTTAGTACATCCAAAAGCTAAAAATAATTGATATAGCCAGTACATTGCGAGTGCTGCCATACAAAGAATCCCATTCCTATCAAACCAGTATATCTCCCCAGCCAATAATAGAAAATTTCCGTGAAATGGCAGTAACAAGAACCTCCCAGATAATTGATCAACTCAATCTCATCCAAAATTGAAATATAGCCTCTAGCAAAATATATATTTCATAACCCAATCGTACCCCAAAAACTAGCAAAAATGCAACGCAGTGATGGCTGTATCCAAGAAATATAAATCATGAATAAATGTAAGAGACACAACCCAATAAAATCCATATGTGATCCCACAAGTTTATAGCAGGTCACCTAGCAATCGTACCACAAAAAATAGTAAAAGGCAATGAAGTGGTTGTCGAATTGTTAGACCGGTCCTTAAGGGACCGGTTCAGGTTTACTCAAGGAGGGGCGGCGGCAAAAAGAGAGGGAGAGGAATAGGGTCCACCAATACTTCAAATTCAAACTCTTTGGAGGGAAAGGAGGGAGCGGCAAGGGCTCCTTAGTCATTTGGCTTGATTAATTAATTGCATGCTTTAAGTAGGATGAGAGAATTAGGGTTAGGGTTATGTTTTGATTATTGTATTCTCTTGGAGTTCTCTTGGATATCTTGGGCTCTAAATTCATTGTCTAGATATTGGGTGAGAACGATCCTCCTCTTGAATTGAGAATCAATTGTATCTTTGCATGTTCTAGCTTTTGGTTTGATTCCTATATTACAATCTACTGTTTTTGGATTGTTTTCATTGGAGATATTGACAATTTCTCGTTGTTTTTATCAATCTTGTTAGGGTTTAATTGAAATATTCAAACATTTCCTATCACATATCCGTGTCACCATGTCCGTGTCTTTGCATCATAGGCTTTATAGTTTAGTTTGTTCCATAGAGAGTGATAGGCATTGGACTCCATTGATATACAATCTCGACAAGAGCTTAGATTTATATAAGGTATGAAGTGTATTTAATGAAGAGAGACCGAGGCCACCATACTCATAGGGCAGGATCATAGTTTTTCATCAAATAGTGTGAATTTTATTTTTAGCCCTATTACAATGTAGAAAATGATTTATCAAGCAGCTGATTTTTCTTCTATGGCCTTTTGGAATAGATATAGATATGAGGAAATAATATACGTAGTTCCAAATAGTGGACCAAACCAGTTGAAACCTACCATTGAATGATATAATTTTCTACTTCCAACCAGCCAACCAAGAGTGAAGTTTGTCCATAATTTTAGAGTAGTTGATAGCTTTAATATTATAGGAGGTTAGAGGTATAATATGTTAGTCCTAGGGTAATGGGTGACTTTCAAAACCTAGGATGCCATAAAGATGAGCTGGTAGAGCAGTGTTAATAAATTTTGAAAAGAATATGGAAGATTTAGTCACATTAGCTTAGAGAATTATTGACGTGAAACAAAATAGGAATTGCTTTAGAAACTTATAAAAAATTGATTTAAGCGCGGTAAAAATAAACTAATGTTTCACCAAATGGGATTTTAGGAATTTAAGAGTTTCAATATTATTATGGCAATTGGTTACACAGTAGAATAACAAGAACTTAAAATAACTTCAATCACATGCTAAATCCACCATTTAACAATTAGAAAAGTCAACTTGAGTTTCTCTCACTCACGCTCTTTGAAAGGCTTTAGCGGAAGGAGAATATCAGCAATCCTAACGATGCCACCACAAGTGATCATAGGACGCCTAGGGTCTTGATCTATTGATATCGTGCACTACTTGTTGCTTTCTACAGCTAGCTTGTTGTGTACTAATGAATCTCCTGCTATTACTGGTAGAAAATTGCATTCACTACAGCTCTCTTTTATTTTCTCACATATAGCCTGTTGTATGCACAATAAGTTTCTTATAGTAACTCGTAGGCATCTACATTTGCCATGATTCTTTAGCACTTGCTCATAGGTGACATTTAACATGTATAACGGGCCTCCTGCAAGGGCCTGTAGTCATTTGTATTTGCTATGCATCTTATCTGTTGTTTTCTTGCATATATCATGTAGTATGTATAACGGCTCTCCTATAATCCCCCGTAGACATTTGCACTTCATTACGTATATTCTTCCCTTACTTTTAGGGAGCTCGAATACGCTTCAGACATGCTATTTTTTATTGTATGAGGATCGGTGTATTTGATTGTCGTTGTATTGTTTTAATTGAATGAAAGTTATATATGTTCTCTTCAAACTATCTAAACATATGTGATTTTTTCAGTTAATCACATATTGAATCCCCTTGTTTGTAGGAGACAGGTGCATTCACTCACTACCATTTTATTATAGGTTGTATAAGTATCCCAATGCTTGTTGCAGGCTCCTATATATGCTTTGAGATTGAGTGCAAGGCACTGCATGTCTCATCCACCACTAGTTTCTTCATGGGTGTCGATTGACAAATTGCTGCATTTGCATATATATCTTTCAGCACTTATGGGAGCTGTTATATACATTCCCAAGGCAGTTAATATTAGTTGTAGGGAGACTTGCTGTATCGATAGCTTATTTGTTATCTTCATTCATCAACAATATTTATAGTGTCTAAACACATTCATCATGCATTATTTATGACCACTTATGTACGACCTGCTGCATTCACTATGAGCACTCTTGCATTGTGAGCGAGTCACTGTCTTGCAAGTTCCCTGATTCATACCTGTAGATAAATCACATTCGTTGGATACCCCTTTCCATATCTGTAGGCAGCACACAACTTTCACAAACTAGTTGGTATTAGTAATATGCTTGTTGTCCTATCCACAACCTTTTTAGATTATTTTTAGATGAGCTGCATCCATTGCATACTGTGCATTCTTGCCTACAGGATGAACTGTACCCACCCTTATGTAATACTGATGCTGGCACTTTAATCGGCAGTGATAACCTCTCAACATATGTTGGAAGTTTTATGTTGTTGCTCGCAAATCGTGTTCACTTACAAACAAGTCAGGATACTTGCATGAGGTCAAATGATGTTGATTTCTTACAAATTGTATTTGTTTAAGACTTGTTCAACAAATCTTGGCCATCAATTTGTTATGTTCGCTACATATTGAACTCCCTTTTTGATGTATTTTGTTGAAGTTGGATCATTTTTTGATGATAGAGATGTTATCATATTCCTTCATCCATGTTCACTCACTTTGCAAATCTGTTTAATTAAACAAATCCTTTATTTGCATGAAGTTCATTTGGATGCCCTTGAATGCTCAAAGTTATTATTTGATTTTGATGTCTTCATTTTGATAATGTTTTTATCAATTTAAAGTCCAAGTTTCTATAGCTCAAAGTAGATTCAAGTCCCCTATTTAGTTGCTCAAACTCAGGCTCCTTGAGGTCCAAAATTGATTCAAGTCATTGTGATTCGTTCAAGTCTTCTTGCTATTTTGTTTGGTTCAAGTCCAAAATGAATCTTCTGCATTTGTTCATAGATAACACTTTGTGCACGTGACAGGTCTCCTAAGGCAGTTTGTGGGTATTTGTATTTGATGTAGTCACTTTGTATTTTGCTTGTAAATAGCATATTGGGTGTACAACGAATCTCTTACAACAGTTCATAGGAGCTTGTATGCCTGTATCTCTTCGTTGCATTTGTTGTGGTCTGCAGTATTTCCACTATCATTGGCTTTGTGCAAATCATTATGCTCATTAATAATTTGATGTTGATTTCTGACTATCCTCTCTCATCAACACTATTTTTATACATTGATCAGCGAGTTATTGTATTCTTAGTGTTACCTTCATGTTGAAAGTGTTGTTGTATGTATTGCTTTCATCCTTCCTTACATACAAGCTGATTGATGGGGCTACCAGTTGCACTTGCCCTTCCCTTGTTTATTAACGTTCATTTCATAGTGATCTTCAATGCTGGTAAGAGACCAACATATTTGCTAGCAATTTGATTGTTGTCGGCTGTATAGATATCTTGGTATTTATTATGCACTGCCTGCATATATTTGTAGGGAACATCGTCATTTACAAACACATTCATCTTATTTGTTTGCGTATTTCTTGAGCATATTTATGGGGTATTTATCACATTCATAGTTTGTTCTCTCTCGCCATTTATAAATATAGTGATGTATTTATTTATAAGCTCGAGACTATTAATTATAGCCACTACGGGAAAACACGCGATTACCGTCGGATTTTCTGGCGGAAAATTTTGCGCCGGTACGAACGACGCAGGTTACGACGGAATATTCCTAAAAATTGCGACGGAAACCTTACGACGCATTTGTCGGCGCACAATACGCCGGAAATCTTCCGGCGTCCCATGCGCCGGTCTATGCGTCGGTAAAACGAGCTCGGAACCATTTCCGTCGCACGTTACGGCGGAAACATACCAGCGCAAATGACCGACGGATATTGCGCCGTTTACTCCGCCGGAACGTCCGCCGATGTGAGCCTTATTTTTCGACACCAAGCCCATCTTGCCGCTCATTCATTTCCTTCCGTTCTCTCACCTCGCGTGTTTCGCCCGTCGCCGTTCGTTGCTTGCCGTGGATTGACGTCGCCGACGGTCACCGGAATTCGCCGTCGATGGTCACCGGACTTCGCCGAGCATCCTTTCCTCTCTTTCCTGCTCGCGCGCCGCCAAGGGTCGTTCTTCGTCGACGGAATGTATTTTGTTTCTGTTTTTTTCCTATTTCGGTTGGATTACATATAGGATCAGCCTTAAGTCCATATCTTTTTGCTTTAGTTATGGATGTTCTCACTAGACATTTGCTAGAGGATGTACCTTCAAGCTCAGCTGCAAGCACAGGTTCAAGCTCAGCTGCAAGCACAGGTTCAACCTCAGCTGCAAGCACAGATTCAAACAAGTACGGAGCAACAAAATCAGTTGTTGGATGAAATGCACAAGATGAGGGATCAGCTGAGTGGAAAATACGTAGCTCCACCTGAGGAGGAGTCCACGGAGTCAGAGTAGTTTAATTTAGTTTACATGAACTTGTTTATTTCTGTGAACATGTGTTATTGAACAGTTTCTTTTAATGTGATGTTTTTTGTTGGTTGATACTATTGAACAGTTTCTTTTAATGTTATAAACTGTTGTGAAACTGTTGTGAATTTGTTATAAAATGTTGATCTGTTGAAATGTTACTATTGAAATGTTGTGGAATTGATATTTGTATAGGTTTGCAGGTGTGGAAATTTGATTGTTGACTGGGAAGGCAATTTTTTTATCAATGCTACAGGTTTCAGGCGGATTTTAAGCCGAAACTTCGCCGGAAAGGACGATACAACGAATTGTATCGAAGGTATCGACGCCTTCGTTCAGTCGGAAACTACCGGCGCACGTTCCGGCGCTATGTCCGCCGCTTATTTCCGGCGAAGACTTTACGCCGCAAACAAAACTGTTGGTTGTCTACGGCGAACTTGCGGTGTTTTATCCGCCGGTAATTACCGACGGAAGATACGACAGAAAATTACCGGTGCATATGGCGCCATAATTTATCGGTTGGAAGTCGTCGGCACCAATCCGATTATTTGCGCTGGTAATGCGTCGGGAAGTGCGCCGGAAAGTTTTCCGGCGCATTAGATTCGTCGGAAAAAAATTATCGACGCAACCTAAACCGGCGTAGGAATTTCCGCCGAAACGTGCGCCGGAAACTTATATTTCCGTCGGATATCTGTGTGTTCCGGCGGCTTTAGTCCGCCGGTAATGACGGGTTTTCCTGTAGTGAGCAGACTACTTTCATCATAACCTACCCCTTTCATTTTTGCCCATGTTAAACTATTCATACATGGTCGTAAGTGAATCACTATGTTACAGGATTTTAATATTGACCATAGATGGAAGGCTGAATACATAATTGTATTTATAAAGGGCCAGTCATGTTTGTGGTATATCCAACATTGTTGTTTGCAGATGGGAATTATGATGTATTGCCAGACTATTTCTTCCACCTCTTTATCTTGTAGGTCAACTATTATATACATGGCGATCTTATAATTGCTTGTAGGTGTCTGTATTTACTACGAGTCTTTGGCACTTGTAGATAGCATATGCATCCGTATCTACATGTGACTTTCTCACATTCACAATACTTCAAATGTTGTTATTCCCAAATAAAACACATCAGCCTTCGTTGCTAGTAAGTTAATGTGCACTTATTTGCGAATTAGTTGGCATCGGTAGAGAGGAGGTTATATATTTCACAATCTCTTGCTTCACTTGTAGGGTCGTTGTATGCATTGCAAATGTAGGAAACTTTTGTTTTACATGATCTGTTGTATGCATTGCAACTTGTTACATTTGTTGCATGTCGACCTCCTTCATTCACTAATATTCATCACTTGTATGCTTTAAGAGTTTATTCAGTGTTCATTTGCATTGAGAATTTATTTTCCACTTGTATTGTGTTGTTTTCATTGATGCTTATTTGGAGGTCTTGCATCATTGTTCGCAAACAATTTATATGCTTGATTCTGCTTCTATCACAAATCCTTATACATTTACTTACATGGTTGGCATTTGCTTGTATGGTGTTTATTTGAATACAATTGAATGTTTGGAGTTATTATTTGTAGTTGCTCATTGACATCTGTAAGTAGATTATGCATCTCATTGAAGACATTATTGCATTTTTCACTTAATCTTTGCTTGCGAATATGTTGCATTTGTTATAATAATTTTGAATTAATTATAAGCAAGTTATGCTGAAATCCGCAAGTCTTTTATTTGATTATTAATATTCATTTGATTGCATTCAAACGATTAAAGTTATTACTTGATTTTGGCATTTTCATTTACTCATGCATTTATCAAATTGGTGCGTGATTCCCTATCCTTTGAGTTTGATTCAAGTCCAACTATGGTCCTTGCAAGTTCAATTGCATGTTCAAATTGTTCAAGTTAAGTTGAAGCTCCTCGCACTTAGTTCATTTGAGTTCAGATCCTTTGTCGTTCAATATATGTGTCCTGTTTATTATCATTTGCTTTAAGTTCAAATTCATTTAAATTTAGTTTGAATTTGAGTTCAAGTTTTGTTCACATCCACCATGCTTGATTCAAATGAAGTCTAAGTTCACAAGTTCTCTTTATTTTCATATGAAATTCCAGCAACCTCCCGGCATCTCTCCCATTTAGGGAAAACTATAGGAAACTGAGCCTTCCCACCACACTAAGAAAAACATGTTTGGCAGATGTCCGTAGACATCACAGTCATAATCTTCGCCCCCCATCACGCTAAGAAAGGCGCGTATATGGGTCCGTAGACATCACAGTCAATTATTTCCGTAGGTATCGCACCGAGTTTCCATCCCACCGCACTAAGAAAAGCATGTATGGATGATTTTTCGGTGCGCTGCGAATGCCGAAAATGAGGCTTTTGATGATTGTTCACTTCGTCGTGAGCACCGTGACAAACTTCCTCCCACCACGCTAAGAAAAGCATGTATAAGTGATTGTTTCATCACACTACAAACGCCAAAAATGGGTTCTCGAGTTTAGAACTTTATACCTCTGCGGATGGAAGTCGGTGGTGTGATGTTGATGATAAAAAATGGTTCGGCGGGTAGAGGGCAAGGTCGGTGATCGTGAGCTGCTCGATGGCTGAAGTTTCATTATGAGATGAGGCTTGGTTGGAGGTGGAAAGAGGAGGCTACAACAATAGGAAATCAGGAAGGGGTTGAAGAGGAGGTTTGGATCTATCGGCCTAGCTTGAGGTGGTGGGCTAGGGCAGGTTTGCGATTGTCTGCATCTGGTTTGACATGGAAAAGGAAAGGGGGTCAATTTAACGCGGGATCTGACAGATGGGTCATCGAAGGGTTTGTAGAAGAGTTGCAGATGGCTTGAAGGCTTTGGGATGGAGATCGGAGGAAGGGTTGTCGTCAGTTTGGAAATAAAATGGTGGGAAGCAGTCAGAGGATGGAAGCTTGAAGCGTGAGAAGCTTCGCTTCTTGTGTACAGAAGAAAGTTGGGCAAGAGCTTGAAGGCTCTGTTTCGTTTTATGGCATGAGCGGAGTAGCAATCAAGGAAAGATTTACCTATTGCCATCTCTGAAATGGTGTCGATTTGCAGAATTTAACGGGATTTCGATAGACATACGGGTATGGGCCGCCGAATGGTGTAGGTATTTTAAAAAATAATAATTGCTTTTGGTTTTGGATTTTCTGTTCTAGGTTAACATGCACTTCTATGGAACTGTACAGACCTTCTTCAAGTGACATTTTTTCCTACAACTTCAGCACACAACTTTCCCTCTACCAAAAGTAGACTTTTCTCTCTTGGATGTAGATCTCCCTCTATTTGGATTTCTCTTAAACCTCTTCCTCTTGCTTCAAAATTCATAGCACAATTTGAAGATTCGTCGTTCGCCCTTCTATGAACCTCTTCATTAAGCATTAACCTCATAATGTCCTCAAAGTTCATCTTTGAACTTCCTGAAGAGTTACTCACAATAGTAACAACCCTATCCCTGCTTTCTAGCAATGAAGATAATAACATAATTTCCCTCACCTCATCATCAAAATTAATGACAACTAAACACAATTGATTCATCACAATGTTCAGATTATTCAGGTGTTTCGCCATTGGAGTGTTGTCTAACATCTTCATATTGAATAACTTCTTCATCAGAAACACTTTATTTGAGGCTGATCATTTCTCATACATCTTAGTCAGTGCGGCAATGAGATTGGTTATAATCATCTCATTTACAATGTTGAATGCAACATATGAGGAAAGTGAAAGTCGTATCAAATCTAGTGCAGTCCGGTCAAGAACCCCCCATTCCTCCATTGTCATAGAATCTGACTTCTTGTTGATTCCTTCTAACTGTAAATACAACTTTTGATACAACAAATCTTCAATTTGCATCCTGCAAAATTTGAAGTTCAAACCATTAAACTTTTAAATCTTGTACCTTGCTTCGTCTGCCATTACTTCCACTCAATCTGAAGAAACTTGCTCTGATACCAGTTGTTTGGGATGATGAGTAAACACCATCATAATGAAACAAGCAAAAAAGTAAAAGAAGAAAAAAAAAAGTAAAGGACACCAAGATTTAACGTGGAAAAATTCAAATAGGAAAAAATCTATGGGGCCACACCACACCAAGAAATCCAGTATAAAAATTAAGAAAAATAAGTACAAATCTCTCTTCTCTCTCACTCTCTCCTTGCTTCTCTTCTCATATACAATATTCTCAATGTCTAACTAATATCAAAATATAAAAAAAATAAGTAAAATAACTCCAAGGGATGCAACCCTCCAAAAAAATGAGAAAGAAAGCTGTCCAATCCATCTCGCAGTGCTACAGCACTCAAACCTTTGTCTTGATCTGTTGCGGCGCCATATATATAAAACTGCGGAGTCCTGTTCTCTGTCGTTCAATGCTGGGGCTCTCGGGTACACAAGGTCGGGGCGCTTGGGTACACATTGCCGGGGTATTGTATGAAAAAAAAATTTAAGAACACAAGGAGGTAAACCCCCTACACCCCTCAATATATAAGACAAGCTTTGAGGTCCGAGACAACATATAAATTAGATTGATCAACACAATCAAATTCCACACATAATAGACCATTTTAAAGATACAAGAAAAGGAGTTCAATTAAGTAGTCTTATGATCAATTTTAGCATTATAGAGTTTATTTATAGTTGGAGCTATATGTAGATGGAGCTAGTGCGTGCAGACCTGTGTAATGCACGAGGTTTTAGTAATAACAAGACAGTAAATTCTACTTACTGCCCTTTTTTTTTTTGGAAAAAGCACTAAATGTTGATCCTTATTTAATTTGGTCTTTTTATAACTTGCCTTTCAAGCATCAAGTGAATCGAGGAATTAGCTCCACAGTGGCACTGACGGCTGCTAGGGTTTGCGGATTTCCTACTCCCGGCATCCCATCTTCCTGTGATTCTCCGCCGCCACCGCTGGAGGGATCCCTCCCTCTACTCCACTTCCTTTCCCCCTCTCCCCAACTCCTCTTCTCCACTTCTTCCCGCTGGAACCTCGTTCCCTTTACCCTAGGATCATGTTTTTTCTGATCCCCCAAACACATGTGAGTTCAATATCTCTACCTTACCCACCGCGAAGGAAATCATTGACCTTCCCACTGATTACATAGCTGGAGCTGTTGAAGAATGGAACCTTGCTTTGGTTGGCTACTCTCTCAGTAAAAGACCGTTCTATGAGGCTCTCCTCAATGCTGTTAAAAATTGTGGAATCTCAAAGGTAACATCAAGCTGGTTTCTCTTAGTGAAGGATTTTTCCTTTTCAAATTCTCATGCACCAATGATTATGAAATGGTTTGGTCAAAGGGAGCGTGGTTTATTTTCAGTAAACCCTTCATCTTCAAAAAATGGACTTCGCATTTTAGCCCGGAAAGAGACGAATATTCCAATGTTCCTATATGGTTCAAAATCCATGATTTACAGTTGTGTTGTTGGACCCCTGTAGGAATTTCTAAAATTGCTACAAAAATTGGAATACCCCTTGCTGTCGATGCTCTCACAGCCTCCAAATCCAGACTCACCTACGCTCGAGTATATGTCCAAGTTGACTCTACTGCTACCTACCCTGCAATTGTCCCTATTACGGTTGAAAGAAAGCTCTTCAATCTGAGAATTCAATACGAATGGCGCCCTTCTATTTGCAACCTCTACAAATCCTTCAACCATCAAGCTATTTCATGCCCATCAAACCCAAACCCTAAACCTTCTCTCCCTCCTACTATCTCCCGTGGAAGGCGTACAAGCCGAAGACCCAGACCTCCATCCACAAATCCCACGGGCATCCTCCCGAACCCCAACATTCCCACTGAACCTCTCCATGCCTTAACTCAAGACATTGCTCCTCCACCAAAAGATGTTGTCATTCCTTCTTCAAACATATTGCTCTCATATATAGAAACTCGGCCTAATTCTCAAATCCCTCCCCCAACAAATTCTTCTACCCTACCAGAATCCGCTCCTACTGCTGTTATTCCTTATATTACTGAGACATCTCATCCTCAACAAAATTCTGTGACAATTCCCAACCTCAACTCTCCAACTCTGCCTTCTTCTTCCTCATCCGATTTACCCCCTCCTCCTCACATTCCTCCACCAAAAATGCTCTCTCCAAACAAATTTTCTATCTTGCAATCTCTCTCTGATTCTGAAACTGCTTCCAACATTGAACCTGAACCGGAACCAGATGATCACTTACTTCAAACAAAACTGGGAACTTCCTCACCCCTTTCTAGCTATAAGCCTAATACCTCTCAACCAAGCACAACTCCTCAGTCTCAAAGAAACATAAGGGGAAAGGGCGCCAAGAAAGGCCCTAAGACTAAAAATAATCATCCATGACTGATCCAAATATCGTGGTTTGGAACATCAGTGATTTCAACAACCCTGATAAATTTTTGTGTTGCAAAAAAGTGGTCCAGGAACACGACACTGATATGTTTTGTCTCTTAGAAAATCGTATTCTTCAACATACTCTTGAAGATCCTTGGTTTTGTTTAACTCACAAGATCTTTGACAACGAACTGAGTTGTCACAATTTTCATACGGCTTCTCCTAGTCGTATCTGGATCAAATGGAATGCTAGTAAGATCTCCTTTTCTCCTACTTATATCTCTAAGCAGGTTATTGCTAGTAAGGTTTACAATGGGGACCTCCCTCCTTTCCTGTTATCTGTTTTTTATGCTTTTAATAATTTTGAGGAATGTAATGTCCTCTGCGATGAGCTTAGATAGATTTCTCCTAATAACGGTTTGGCTTGGGCTGTGTTAGAAGATTTTAACTGCTGCATGTTTCCCTCTGAAAAGTCTGGAGGGATAACTTTAAATTCTTCTAAGATAGCTCCTTTAAACTCTCTTATTTTTTATGCTCATCTGGCGGATCTTCCGTCCTCTAACAATTTCTTTACTTAGTTTAATCAAAGGGCGGACAACCCCATACACTTAAAGCTTGATCATGTGCTCATTAATGATTCTTGGATTTCTGCCTTTCCGGATTCTTTTTGCAAAGTCTGTAATAGTTTGGTTTTTGACCACACGCCACTTATACTCAAATCGAATTTGGAGAGAAATACTTGTAAAAGATTTATGTTCAAAAATTACTGGTGCAAGATCCCATATTTTTGGGACACTTTGATCACGATTTTCACCTCCCCTATTCAAGGCAACCATATTAGCTCTCTCTACCACAAGCTAAATCTTTTGAAGAAAGAAATCAAATCCAAGAGATGGGTTAACTCTATCCGCTTAGAGTCTAAGTGTGCTGAACTTTCTATTATGCAAAACCAGTTGCAACATAAAGTTGACTATGATCCTCTTAGGGTGCGTTTGGGACGGCGGTACTACTGCTTTACTTTATAAAAAGTCATTAAATCATTGTTTGGGACATTGCGGCAGAACCACGGCAGAAAAAATTCTGCAGTCCGCTGTTGCTTCCTGCGACCATTCCCTGTATCCCGCGGTCCGCTGCGGTCGGCTGCTTTCAGCAGAAAAATGACGAAAATCTTGCGGCAAATATTCGCTACCGTCGTTGTCGCGCTGCTCTCTGCTTTTCCACTATCCATCAAACAAATGCACCGCACGCCGATCATTCCACACCGGCGAACCTTTCTGCTTCTTGCTGAAGATTCGATTGACACCAGCTTCTGAACCGCCGATTGCCGACGGGATCTAAACCCGCAATCTCGGATGGCACGGGACTGGAGAAATCATTGTTGGAAAGGTCAAGCGATACCAAGCTTCTGATCTCGCCGATTGTCGACGGGACATGGCCAAAGAAGCGGTTATGCAGTAGCGAGAGGATTTCGAGTGATTTCGGATGACACGGGACCTGAGAGGCGACAGAGAAAAGAAGTAGCGCCCAAGCAACCTTGACCATTGTTCTCCCTTATTCTTTTCCTCTCTCTCTCTCTCTCTCTCTCTCTCTCTACAATACCACCATTGCAGCTATAAGGAGTGGAGGAGTGAAGAGGCTGAGGAAGTAGACGAGAAGAGTATAA